CCACAGAGCGTTTGGTAGCCGTCCGGCAAGGACTGGATGGTGTCGTGGATGTTGGCGAGCTTGCATGCCTCCTGAATCTCGTCCATGGTGGCTTCATGGCCCGGTCGAGCACCAAGGCCGATGTTGAATTCAACGGTACCCTCGAAGAGCACGCTTTCTTGTGGTACCAGCGCAATGGTGTCGCGGAAGCTGACGTCGCGAGTCCTTGTCAAGTCAACCCCCTCGACAATGATGGATCCGGATTGAGGGGTGTACAGTCGTTCGACGAGCGAGACGATTGTCGATTTGCCAGCGCCACTAGGACCGACAAGCGCACAGAGCGTTCCTGGTTGGATTTCGACGTCCAGACCTTTCAACACTTCAACTTCGGGCCGACTTGGGTATGCGAAGTGGACATCGCGGAGTTGGACACTCGAACCCTGGTTGCCAGCCGGAAGAGTCAGTTTTGCTTCGGCGATTTTCTCCAGGTCTTTATCCTCAAAACCTGCATCGAGAGACAGTGTCCTCTTCCCATGTCCTTGCATTGTATCCGGTCCTATCTCAATGAGACCCAACAGCCTCGCCACCGCAGCCCGCGCACTGGTGAGCTCTGGGGCGAGCGCAAACATCTGACTCCAGAGCAGCGCGCTAACCAGGAGGGAGAAGACCACAATCATAAACTGCGTCTGGGTATAATTGCCCGCGATAATCTGTTTGGCGCCCCACCAATAAGCTAACGCATTCACGAGGTTACCGAGTAAATAGGTCATAGCCTGCCAGAGACTTGCGTGTAGGCTCACTTTGAGCGTCTCCTTGCGAGGGCCTTTCAATGATCGTCGATAAGTCTTCAGTGTCTCTTCTTCCAGGGAAAGGGACGCAATCGTCTTGATGGATGTGATTGCCTCCACGCCGATGTCCACCGATTTTGTATATGCATTTTCGTGCCGTTCTTCAAATCTCGCGAGCACTCGGAGCTCCATAAGACCAGCCCCAAGGAGGAGCGGTACCAGAGACAGGCTGACCAATGCTATTTTCCAAGCAATGATATGGGTCAAAATAATTGCGGCAAAGAGGTTGACGGTGATCGAGAACAACGTGCCGATGACGGAGCCGCTCAAGCCACTGAGGGCATTGCCATCTCTGGTAATGTAAGAGAGCAGCAAGGCGGGAGTTCGGCCTTCGGACTGATGCCATTGGAGATCTTGCCCAAACAAGGATCGAAAGGATAAGACTCTCACACTGTAGACCGTTTTCTCAGCGACCCAGCCGAAACCCGACCAACTGGTCACGTTCGCAAAGAACTCGATGATTGCGAGTATGAAGAACATGAGACCGAGGAAACTGCCCCGAGAACGAATGTAGGATTCGCTCTGGCACGGGCTCAAGCTGCCGACAGTGTTTCCAAAGATCACGGCCTCGGCAGAGAATGACCCGCCAACGACGGTCGAGGCGAGAAGCGAGGCAATGATGATTAGCAGGTGCGGTCTCAAGACTGGTGCAAATCCTCGCATCAAAGACCACAGCGATTTTGATGGAGTCTCGGGCTCTTCCTGCTCTTCCGCAGATTCATTTACCTCAGCTTGACTGGCCGAGGTTTCAGTCTTCTCAATGGTTCCGATACCGTCAATTGACAAAATACGCTCCTCGGTAGCACCCTTTATTGAAGAGCCATGATCTGATTGTCTCGTGCTGTCTGCTGTCTCGTCTGTCCCAGACGTGGTGGATCCGAGAGTCTGCAATCTCACTAGATCGGCGTATGCGCCGTTCTTTGCCATCAGAGTTGAATGGGTTCCCTCTTCAAGGATGCGTCCCTTCTGCATGACTATAATGTTGTCGGCACCAGTGATAGTCGAAAGTCGGTGAGCAATCGTGATCATAGTCCTGCCACTGGCAATGCGAGATATGGCCCCCTGAATACGCTGCTCGCTATTTGAGTCCAGAGATGCCGTGGCCTCATCCAAGATAAGAACCCTGGGATCTTTTACGAGGGCCCTCGCCAGGGCAATCCGCTGCTTCTGGCCACCACTGATCAGCCGCCCACCCGATCCTACCACGGTACCATAGCCGTGTTGCAACGCAACGATAAAAGCATCTGCGTCGGCGAGCTCTGCGGACTTTCGGACCAAGGAAATAATTTCGACGACATTTGGGCCCAGCTTCTCTGCTGCTGTCTGCAGGTCCTGGCCCTCCCTGACTTGGTGGGCGAGATCTGCAAGGTCTGGACCAAGAAGCGTTGTCTTGAAGTGTGCATGATTGGGGTGGCTCGAATTGATCAAGCCATGTGCAATGTTCTCCAATATCGAACGGTCAAGGAGCGAGGGGTCTTGCTGCACGAGGCTGAGGAAGCTTCTGAGGTCATGAAGATTCAGATCACGAAGATTATGACCGTCGAACAAGACTTGGCCCTGATTAGGATCATACAGTCTTGTAAGCAATCCGGCAATGGTGGATTTGCCACTTCCAGAAAACCCAACTATGGCAGTGTGTTTCCCGGGAGGAATTCGAAGATTGACCTGGTCCAGAACTGTAACTTCAGGTCTGGATGAATAAGTGAATGTGACGTCCTTAAACTCGAAGCCGGCTTCCGCCTGCGAGAGGTGAATCCCCGAAGCAGCTGTGCCATCGATCAACGGCTCGCGATCCATATCCTCACGCAGTTTCTGAAATGAAGCGACAGCCGCCCCGAAAAGGTGCAGAAAAGGCGCTACTTGACTCAAGACCAACGTAGCTGTCAATGTATTAGTAAAGTTCCAAGGTGGAGCTCGATTCCAACTGACCTTCAATCAAGATGAAGACTACTGTAAACGTGACACCCACGGAGGCGGTCTTAGCATCAAGACGGACTGCATCCGCAATCCGTTGACTTGCTTGCCAGAATGCTAGACCGTTCGCAGAATAGGCGATGAAATACAGGACTCCGGATTGTACACCCACCGCCAACGCCTTCTTCAAGCCTTCATGTTCAGAAGCTTTGAGCGCCTTGGCGAATTTATTTTCCAGCCGGGTGTTTGCACGGAATGCGTGCACGACAACAACGTTGGAAAGTGCTTCTGAAGCGATTGAAGCGGCGGTCGCAGCATGATCCGACATCAGTCCAGAGTACTTTTCAATGTAATGGCTTCCCACGAATGACATCAGGAAGTAGGCCGGTATCAAGGAGACCAGCATTGCCGCAAGCTTATAGTCCTTGATGAAAGCCACAATATATGCCGTGACGAAGAAGGATAGACTTGAGAGACATATTCCCACTTTCTCAGAAGTACCTGACCGGATTGCCTGGATGTCGCCATTGAGCCGAGAGGCCACTTCTCCGGGAGGTAGTTTGTCGAAGTACGACGGCTCCTGTCGGAGCAGATTATGTAAATAACTCTCTCGTAGTCTTTGTGCGAGCCGAGCCCCGTTCAAACTCCAGCATGAGAGGTGCGTATAGATGGTGACGAACTGGGCGATGGCCAAGTACAAGATCAGCAGGATTTTGTCGTTGACACTGTGTTGGTGCTGTGCCCGAGCACTGGAAGTGTCGGGTGAATCGCATGTTGCCGAATTAAAGTCGTCGATGAGCTGACCAAAAAGAATTCCAATCAATGGGAATGGGATGCCGGACGCTATCGCAGATAGTATAGCCAACAATAACATGCCCGCATCGACTTTGGAAGGGCTTCCAGCCAACAGTAGGCGAGGGTAGCCCACGAGTTTCTGGAAGGCCTTCATGCTAACACAGAGCCGGCGAGGCTGCTTGCAGCGTTGTGAGTGACTTGTCTGTGTGCTTCACCTGCAAAGACTGCTTTTCTGGCCGCGGTCTCCCTCGAGAACTACTTAGCTCGCCGTCTCTGCTGTGCTCGACAATGGCGATTTGCATTGCCGTAGGAATCGTTTCAGCGTCTGAAAGAAAATTTCTCCACTCCGATGCCGCACTGAGAGGACTGCTTCATGGTCGGCGATGTGACCGTCAAGCTGGGTCTGAGCAACAGGGCACGCGGACCGCCAGCTTGGAAAATGGATCAACACCAGAGTGGCAAGCGTAACGGGACGTAAAACGAGCAGCTTTGTAAAGTCAACTTGGAAAATACGGTAACCGCCAAGAGGTTTAGGAAATGCAGTGGGATGAAAGGAGAGCTCTTCCAAACCTATTGGTACTGTACCTTGATCACGACAGCTCTCTGGTAATGGAACATCACGTCTCTTCAGGCTCCGACATCGCCGGTGCCCGTCACAACCAATCCATCTTCTTTTCTTTCCCTGAACCCCTGCAGGCTTAGGGACTATGGGCTCCGTTCGGTGGATCGTTCGGTTGATGCTCGTAGCGAAGAGCAGAAGCAGAGCAAGTTCATGTGAGAAGGCGGGGCGACCTGTCCGAGTAGAGTAATGAGGAGGGTGGTTGCAACGGGCGTGTGTAGACAGTGGCAAGTCGAAAGTCGATGGCGCAAGTTCCTGGTTTTCCCGAAGCCGACGACGTGGTCAAATCAGAAAGCCGGATTGTGAAAAATCTTATCAGATTAGATTATCACTAACAAGCACGTTAGCGGCTTGGCATTGCTTTCCACCTTGCACACCGTTGCCCACACTATGTCCACGTTGCCCTTCAAGGATGCGCACATCTGTTTCCTTCGCCATATTTCCTATACATGACGACACCGATCGTATGTCGCGATACGATACCGGCGGCTTGACACTAGCTGTATTTCAATATGCAAGCCCCAGTACAACTAGACCTGTTATGGAAATGACATGAATTTCTCCGACCCTGGCGTGGATGATGGACTCCTTGCCAAATGCCTCACTCCCTTCGACCAGATGCCCGCATCAGGCCAGGTCCACAGACATGCGAAATACCATAGTCTGGTCGGCTGCGTCAGGTCCCTTCGTCTCCGACTTCGCACCAAAATGCTGGTCATATTTTTGCGGTGGCATGATTCAGTCACTCGTCTGAGTCTCAAGTGACTGGATTACAGCTCCATGCCCAACTCATCTTCTCGATATTGAGCTCCGTCAGCAGTCGAGAAAGCGGGATTGCCCTTAGAATGGGCTCTATAGCAGTCGCCGAAAGGGATGATCGAAGGCAGACAAATGGCCAGTCTGCAGACATAGTCTCTATCGGAGACGCTGACGCCGAGGGATTTTGGTCTTTCAAGGTCGCCGGGCTTGCTTCCGATCCAACAAACACTCCCACTGGTCTAAGAGAGGAATTGTTGCTCCTCGCATGGCTCCTCGTTCTCCTACGAACCCAAGACGAAGGCCAAGTTTGGTTTGATTGGGCTTACGAACGTCGAGGAAACGGCGCTCTGGACGAGCCTGTTCCAAAGCGCTTGGTGATGGATGAGTTAATCACAGGGTTGCAAGATAACATCGGGCAAGTTGGTGCTAGAATTGCTCGCCACATCACTGCATGTACCCAAACTCAGTTACATGGAGGCTCTGGCCCTGTTTCGCTCCTATTGAGCACCAGTTCCCTGTCTCAGACGCCTGAGGAAGCGAGTGGTCAAGTGAGTCACTGATCAACTCAAACGTCTCGTCACTGACCTTTTGAGCGAAGAGTGCACTGCACCTGCAAACACAATTTGACGATGGCCGTCTCAAAATCCGTCCAGTATGGCAGACCAAGAACATGTTGCCATATACGATCACACGACACATCATAGCACTGGTCGATGCCGTCAAAATGTGCATTTTGAACCCAGACGGCCCCATTGAAAGTTTGATGCGGCCGACAGCAGCTGATCTGGACGAAATATGGAGGTGGAATTGCCCACTGCCACCATCCTATCACTTTTGTATGCACGAGGTGATCTCCCAGCAAGCCCAGGTATTCAAAGACAAGGTAGCAATCTTATCCTGGGATGGCAGCCTGACGTATGCCGAAATTGACCAATATTCTACATCCATTGCCTACTCGCTGAAAGAGATGGGTGTCGGGTTGCATGATGTCGTGCCCGTGTGCTTTGAAAAGTCCAGATGGACCATCATTGCCGTGCTTGCGGCGATGAAAGCAGGGGCGACTTTCGTGCTGATGGATCCTACGCTTCCGCTTGCTCGCCTGCAAACCATGGCGAAACAGGTCGGAGCGAAGACGATGCTTACATCCCGGAAACAACATGACTATTCGGCCGCAGTCTTGCCCGAGGGGAAGCTCATGGTCGTGGAAGAGGACTCATTCAAGCACGCCTCATGCTTACAAGTCACGCCAAATTTGCCAGTCGTACCCCCATCTGCTCTGATGTACATAATTTTCACTTCCGGAAGCACGGGTGTCCCGAAAGGAGTCTTGATTTCTCACGAAACATATACAAGCAGTGCAATTCCTCGAGCGGAGGCAGTTGGCTATACGGAACACTCTAGAGTCCTTGATTTTGCGTCGTATGCTTTTGACGTCAGCATCGACAGCATGCTTTGCACTCTTTCGAAGGGCGGATGTCTCTGCATTCCCTCTGACGAAGATCGGATGAACGACTTGAATGGCGCGATGCGGAGAATGCAAGTCACCTATGCCGGCCTGACCCCTTCGGTGGCCCGCATATTGGATCCGGATGTTGTGGCATCGCTTAGCGCCCTGGGTCTCGGAGGGGAGGCAGCCACTGCAAGAGACGTGACACGCTGGGGCCAAGTCACTAGGATTGTCATAGGCTACGGCCCATCTGAATGCACGATCGGATGTACAATCAACAGCAGCGCGGCCACAGGCAGGGACTATGTATCCCTTGGGCGAGGCAACGGGGCAGCTATATGGATCGTCGACCCTACTGACCACGGAATGCTCATGCCGGTCGGTGCTGTGGGCGAATTGCTTGTCGAGGGTCCAATTGTGGGACAAGGCTACTTAAATGATCCCGACAAAACCGCGGCGGCTTTTATTAGTGACCCCTTGTGGCTCACGGCAGGCCATAATGGCTATCAAGGTCGCCGTGGCCGCCTATACAAGACTGGAGATCTTGGGAAATATGATCCTGATGGCTCTGGTGGCATTGTCTTCATCGGGCGAAAGGACACGCAGGTCAAATTGCGCGGACAACGCGTCGAGCTTGGAGAAATCGAGTACCAGCTCAAAGCGAGACTCCCTCCAGGCACCAACGCCATTGCAGAGGTGATTGTGCCTTCAGGTTCTGGAGGTCAACCTATATTATTGGCATTCATTGCATTTCAGTCTACGAAGGGACAAGAGTCTACCGATCTACAGTGGGCACGTCCCCCCAAGGATCTACAGGACATGCTGTCGGCAGCTGATGTGGAGTTGGCCAAGGTCCTCCCACGATATATGGTGCCAAGCGCATATGTACCGGTCAACTACATTCCTGTGATGATATCAGGCAAGACCGATCGCAAAAGACTGAGGCAATTCGGTGCCACGTTCGACCTTCGACAGTTAGACCAAGGCGCGACTGAGACCGCTCCGCGACAGCTAAGCGATCTCGAGCAACTTGTGCGGCTGGCCTGGAGCCAGACATTGCGGCTTGATCCAGAAACCATTCGGCCCGACGATAATTTCTTTGCACTGGGCGGCGACTCGCTAATGGCAATGAAACTTGTTTCTGTTTGTAGAGCTCAAGGACTCGGTGTCACAGTCACGAGCATTTTTCGCTGCCCTACGCTCTTAGCGATGGCTGACGTTGTCCAAACTTGCAGCAGCCCTCAAACACGAATAGAAGCGCCAGCCTTTTCGATGATCTCCCAGGATGCTGAGAGTGCCTGTCTCGAAGCGTCGCAGTGGTGTGGGACCGAACCAGCCGCCATCGAAGACATCTACCCCTGCACACCATCACAGGAATCGCTGTTTACCTTCTCCATCAAATCAACACGAGCGTATATTGCTCAGAGAGTTAGTTGCATTCCCTCACATATTAGCCTTGATGCCTGGAAAAAGGCTTGGGAGGAGGTTGTCGCGGCAAGTCCTATGCTGCGCACTCGCTTAGTGCAACTCCAAGACCCCGGTTTGCAGCAAGTTGTGTTGAGGGAAAGCATATGCTGGAGGTATTCGACTGATTTATCCCAATACCTTGACGACGACCAGAATGAGAAGATGGAACTTGGTCAAAGTCTGGCTCGATATGCCCTCGTCGACAACTCAAAGGACGACAAACGATACATGGTCTGGACCATTCATCACGTGCTCTACGATGGGTGGTCCGAACCTCTGATACTCCAGAAAGTCAGCAATGCCCTGCGGGGTGAGCAAATCGAGCCACGAGCTGAAATGAAAGACTTTGTCAGATATGTGCGAGACGTGAACGAAGTCGAGGTTCAACAATTTTGGCGGCAAGAATTGGAAGGAGCCGTTGGACCTCAATTTCCGCGTCTGCCCTCCAGAGACTATTTGCCGACTCCCAACGGCATGCTTGAACATCAATTTGCGCTTGAGACCGACCTTGGATCGACTTTCACCATGGCTACATTGATCCGTGGAGCATGGTCGCTCGTCATGTCACAATACACAGGGAGCGACGACATCGTGTTCGGCGAGACGCTCACAGGTCGAGACATTCCTTTAGCGAAAGTCGAAAGCATCGAGGGACCATTGATCGCGACTTTACCAATGCGCATACATATCAACCGAACGAGCTCTGTACAGTCTTACCTACAAACTGTACAGGAAGCCGTCCTTGTGCGCACACCGTACCAACATGTTGGAATGCAGAACATCAGAAAGGTTAGCAGGGATGCTCAACATGCATGTGAAGCCGGTACGGGCCTGGTCATCCAACCCGAACCAGAGTACGTGGGCGCCGAACTTGGGTTTGAGCAGACGGATATCTTACATGAAGCGCTACATTTTAATCCGTATCCACTCATGTTGGCCTTTGGAACGCGCAAAGGTGGTTTGAGGGTCTGCGCGAGCTTTGACACCACCCTGATTGACATCGCACAAATGCAACGAGTACTCGCCCAGGTAGAGACGGCCTGCTTGCAGTTGATGCAGGATCACTCCCGGAGAATAAACGAGATTTCCTGTCTGCCTGAAACGGAACTCGACCAGATCTGGCGTGCGAACAAGATTCCTCCATTGTCCTTGGACAGGTTATCCGGAAGGCTTCGAGCAGATGCAAGTATTGATCCAGGGTCAACGTATCCTCCTGCGGTGGTCCCTTGGGTCTGTAACCCACAAAATCCGTCCCTCTTGTCGCCCATTGGCAGTATTGGCGAGCTTTGGCTTGAAGGGTCTTTCTTTGCAGCTGATACCACTTCGTCTCCCCCCTGGCTTCTGGCTGGAAGCTCTACTTGTGCTGGTCGATCCGGGACAGTGCAATCGACGGGCGACTTGGTTCAGTTACGAGACGACAGCAGCTTAGTTTTCGTTGGTCGAAAGGAGAATCGCTCAACGATTCAAGGTCATGTACTGGACATCGCAGAACTCGAAGCTCATGTCACAAATCATCTTCCACCGACAACCCGCGCCGCTGTGGCCGCATTCCCACCGCCGCTGGAAGGGAATCAACAGTCAGCCGAGCAGGAATTGGTCGTTTTTGTCGAGCAACAGCCCTCTCAGGAAGAGCATGTTCCGCTCATGGAAGCGAACCATGAGATCACGTACGTGGCCGCAGGGTCATCCAGATCAAACCTGACTATCTGTGCTACGGTTCACTACGGCCTTGCTGTTGCCCTTAGAAAGCTCGACAAGTTCATCCAAGACTCCCTTCCGCCGTACATGTTCCCGTCTGCGTATATTGTGGTTGACAAAATACCGACTGAGATGGGTCGAGTCGATCATAACATGTTAAACCAGCTGGCCGCTAGAATTCCCAGGTCTGTCCTCACCACCCTACAGGAAAACTTGAAGGAGGCATGGAAGAACACTACCACGCAAACAAGCTTGACCACCCCAGAGAACATTGTGCGGTCTGCCTGGGCGAGGATTCTTGGTATCAGTCCAGACAAGATCGATCTGGACGACAACTTCTTCCGCCTCGGAGGGGACTCTGTGCTGGCCATGAAGTTGGCATCGAGTCTCCGGGTTCAGGGACATACTTTGACAGTGGCCGACATCTTCCAGAACATGAAGCTTCGCGACGCGGCCAGGGTGTTGAAAGTGGACCAGGTGTCCATGGAGAAGAGGCCGGATTACAAGCCATTCTCGACACTGGACGGAGTGGACGTTGGCATGTTCTTGTCCGACGTTGTGCGACCGAAGCTAGCTGATCCACTTTGGTTTATTCAAGATGTCCTGCCAGTAACAGAGTCTCAAGCGATCGACGTCAAGGCAACAATTCAGGTTCCACGAACATCCATCCAGTACACCATGTTATACTTTGAAAAAGGCGTCGATCTGGACAATCTGACCCGCGCCTGCAACGAGCTGGTCACGATCCACGACATTCTGCGCACAGTCTTTATCGAGCATGAGTCGCGGCTCTTTCAAGTTATTCTGGACAAGCTGGAGTCTCCGATGACCATGCAACATTCTGAAAGTGATCTTGAACAGTTCGTCGTCGCGCTCTGCAACGAAGACATAGAATCAGATATGCGCCTCGGGTCACCTTTCCTCAAGATGTTCCACGTCCAGGGGCCGGACGGCCAAGGGTGCCTCATTATCAGACTCTCACATGCTCAATACGACGGCATCTCCTTGCCCAAGCTGCTTCGAGACTTGGAGACCATATACACAGGAGGAACCGTTGCCGATTTCAAGCCGTTCTCCGCTTACATGGCACGACTTTGCAATGAACACGACAAGAAACCGGCACTAGATTACTGGCGCAACCTTCTGCACGGCTCCAAATTGTCGATTTTGGATGGACCGTCAGCACGGCACGCCTCAAAATCGATCTTCCTCACCAAACCTGTCGACGCTTCCCATCGTCCCACGGAGATCACAACAGCGAGTCTACTGACCGGGGCATGGGCACTCGTCCTGGCTCGCCGTCTCCAGCAACCAGATGTGACATTTGGCTGCATCACTTCCGGCCGCAACATGGACATGCCCGACGTGGAGAAAGTCATGGGTCCATGCTACCAGTTCACACCGGTCCGCGTCCCATTCGAGGCTGGATGGACGGCCATGGACCTCCTCCGCTTCGTCCAGAAACAGGGTGCAGAGTCGGCAGCCTACGACTTTGTCGGGTTTGGAGAGATTTTCAAAAGCTGTAACACGCAATGGTCGTCGCCACAGGAGGAGGAGCAGTCGTCACCGTCATCGTCGCCAGAGTCGTCGTTGTCGTCATCATCGTCATCACCGTCACACTTCTTCTTCGACTCTGTCGTCCATCACCAGGATTTCGAGGACTACGACAGCATGCCCTTTGCGGGAGGGGCTTGCAAGGTGGCGATCCAGAACCCACACGGCGACGCGGCTCATCCGATCAAGGCCGTCTCGTTTGTTCAGAGCGGGCAGACGCATGTCGGTGTTGTCGGAAGTGAACATGATCAAGCCTTGATTGAAGCCCTCCTCGTGGAACTGGCTGCAACGGTCGAAGAAATTTCTACCCATCAACCAGAGATCCTTCGGCTTAATTAAATGACAGACTGGCGAATCGATCATGGCTCAGACTGGCTTGCTTGTCTTCTCTACGGGGACATACACACACATATGCCCTTGGTAGTGATTGACCGATATAATGCATGGTTCGAGGTCCGGCCGAGTTTTACTACGGCGATGCGTAGCTGTCTCTGAGGGCGCTGATTGCAACGGCGAAGGGGCACTGTCGATGAGATCATTCGCAAAGAACAAGAACACCACACATGGGTGCGTCCGACAACACGGAAGGCAAGGCTGACTTGTCATGAATATGGTCAGCACACTTGGCTAGAGCTTCTCAAAACACACCAAGACTGAACGCGCACGCAAAGGCGCCACTAAGAGGGAAAACTGCTCTGTCCCCTCTATCTGACAGTCTTTACATGCCTGCCTGATCACATTGCTCTTCCCCGCAAGGCTGTCACGCAGCAATCGTGCCATTGTCATCGTGAACACACACTGTTGAAGTTGTCTGAGCCCAGTCCGAGGGGTTTGGCAAGGCTGACCGCGCAAGGCTGTTCTAGCCGAAGAGGTCGCGTGCCTCGCAACACCTCCCTTCTTAAGACTCGGGTGGCCATGATGACCGTCGTACGCCAATCACGCAAGTACAATAAGACGCTTATCCCTCCGTTCCAGGACTTTAGCAAAGGCTTCAGGCAAGAATACCTAGATATATATATATATATATATATATATTTGTCGAGTGGATATGTCCTCCTCGAACCACACAGGTACAGGTCCAGGTCCAGATATAGCGGCGGCATACTCCTAGTTGAGACATTGTCTCCTGTAGCTCAATCAGCTTCGGGGGGTTTCGTATCTTACTGTAATCGGGAGTGAGGGTGGTAGGATGGCCAAGTCTCTCTCTTACATGCTGTGGTCAGGAACGAGGGCGGTGGGTAGGGCGTCTTAGCTACGGTTGTGGAATACCTATTTGCTGACGGGACCACGCTTAAGCGGCGCCTGGTTCCTTGAGAGAGGCTCCAAAAGGGCCATTCGGCATTATCGGTATTAGATGCAATTGATCGCATATTACAGGACAGGGGAACAGCGTACGTATGTGATGGGATGGGGACGTCAACGCTCATCATCCAAGGCGGATCGCATAGAAGGGCTTCTGCTATCGGCGCGCACGTCGGCGAGTTGAAGATGGTACACGGTAGACAGCACACGGGACGTGGCATTCAGTGCACAACACAGAATATTCCGCGTCCAAGTACGTGCTTCGTACCTGCGTATTGACGGCTGAATCTGCTCATGTGGCCTACACTACAGATATATCTATGCGTGCATGTCTATACTGTCCTGTAGTCACACGAGTCACGATGATCCTGTCCCCTCCCCCGCATTATACCCACCTCCACCTCCTCCTTCGTATCCATTGCCGCTGCCATTGCCGTTGCCATTGACGGTGCCATTACCGTTGCCGAAGAAGAAGCCGTCAAACAAATCGTACTGCTGCCCGTCACTCCAATCGTGCTGCATGTCCAAGCCCATGCCGAAGCCGAGGTCGCCTAACCCACCGGCATCGATCTTGAAGTCACCCTCGCCGCCCGGCCCACTGTCACCGCCCATACTGTTGAGGAAGTCCATGCCCGGCAGACTGGACATGAAGTCCGGGTTGTACGTGTTCTGCATGTAGAATTGGTCGTTTGCCTGGGCGTGGGTCGGCTGGGGACTGAACAGCTGGGGGTTGGTGGATGACGCGCCCATGCCGAGGCCGGTGTTGATCTGCGAGTTGATGCTCGATGCGGGGGACATCTGGCCGTGGGTTGGCGAGTGTTGGAGAGAAGCAGCGTGAGGAGGAGGGCCGAGGCCCATTCCCACGGCAGCGTTAGTGTTGGGCTGTGGAGAATGTTGTTGTTGTTGCTGCTGCCGCATCCACTGCAGTGGCTGAGGAAATGAATAGGAGGGACGGGTGCTGGGCTCGAGGTCCTCAGGGAAGAGTTCGCGGAGGTCCATGTCGAACTTGGGCGGAGGGCGTTTTTTCTGGATGGGTCGAGGGGCGATGCGTGTGGTTGCGGGTGGTTTGGGATCGATCTGCATAGGCACTGGCTGGGATTGCGGTTGGTTCTGCAGGCTGGTTTGCCGGGACAGTTGTTGTTGTCGGGGTTGTCTTTCGTCGCGTGGCTCCATTGAGAAGCCAAAGCCAGGAGTCGACATGCACATTTGCACCGTCGCTTTGCTCATTCTTTCAAAGGCATCGCGACAGGCTTCGGCCGGCGGACACTTTTCCATGAGGTCGCCGAGCACCGACGTCGCGGCGAGGACGGTGAAGTCAAAGTCATCGAGGGTCTGCAGTCTCGGTCAGTCGATAGAGAGACGGGAACAAGCGATCTCTCAGTATGCTTACCAGGCGAGCTCTCACAGCCGGTGAGTGCCAGACGGCGTACAGAAACGATATCCCGGCCATGAACAGATGGTGTGTTGCCAGATACGTGTAATTCACGAGTCGGAGCCGATGGAGTTGCCTGTATAGCTTCAACGTCTTCTGGCCAGCCTCTGCACACTTCAGAAACACCAGGTCTTCATCCTCCTTCTCTTCCATCCTCACGCTCGACGGGCTCGCCACATCCTCCGTCGGGCTTAGTTCGTTGGCCAGGGGTGCTGGAACGCTAAGACTCTGCCGATACAGCATTATCACGGCCTGCCAGTAATTGAGTTCCAAGAACTGCACAGAAAATCCGACGCCGGTCTCCGAGGGATCGGGCGCCGACTCCTTCCACTCATAGAGTCGTTGGTCAATGTCTCGACGCCACGACCGGAAAGAGTCGAACTTGCTCAGGAATGGCGACGGCAGTTTGGTATGCATGAATTGGTTGCGTTGGTTGGTGCCACCAAGACGTGCTTGCTGCGCTTGTTGATATTGGAGCACCTGGAGAATCTCGGACTGCAACAGCCGCAGACGGAAGTAGTGGTGCGAAACCCATTTGTAGGTCGGTTCGTCAGGGAACGCAGGGCGTGAAAAGCCAGCTCGGCTGATGTGTTTATCGTCAAGCAGAGAGGGGAACTCTGTAGTAATGACTTGATCGGTGATGCCGAACGGTCGTCCTACACACGTGCTGACGAGGCGGTCAAACGTGTACGTACACCACCAAAGTCGCCTCCGCAAGTCGCGAAGCCATTCGCGCCGACCTTTCTCTTTTGCATCGACGGGCTTTAGAGGCTTGTCAGCTGGGTTCCGTGGTCCTCCTTGCATCTCCATGTTATCGTCGATTCCCGTCCCGTCTTCATAGTGGAGGCCGAGGTCCACGGCCAGTCTCATGGCGACACCGACAATGTACCACAGTCCGGGGGCCACAGGTCTGAGAAGAGCAAAGCCACACAGGAGTAAGACTGCCTGGAGCTCTTCCAAATCACCGTTTGGTCGTTCGGCCGCATCGGCGGATGAACTGGACGCCAGAAACGACCCGAGGTTGACGATGGCGGAAGCATGATATTCCTCAGGCTGTGCCTGTTGCATTCCCAGCCGGGCTCTCTTTGGAGCATACTCGGCTTCGCGGGCATTTGGCTGTGGATCTGATGATCCCCAAATGATGCCAGCCCCGATCGCAAAGACGATGCTCAGCAGGTAGAGTTCACGACTGGTCCGCTTTGAGGGTTCGATCGAGTATGTACGGTCAAATAGGTGCATGAATTCCCCTCGATGCAGAATCGGAATTTGGGGATTAGCATGTTCAAAGTACAGATTGACTAGTTTCTCCCCCAGGGCCCGATCTGGGAAGGGGGCCTCCTTGATTGTCGGTTTCGTCTGTAAGCCAAAGTATGAATCCCTCATGGAACTGCCACCCGAGCTGGCAAGGTTGGGCATGGGTCGGCTCGGTCTCACGCCCGCACGCTCCGAGTTGTTGCTCGACACCGAGCTCTTCACCGCGGCCAAGACCACGCGAGCGAACGAGATGCCAGAGGTTGAACCCAGATATCGTGCATCGGAGGCCCCTTGGACCGAGACCATCCCGATGTTGGACACCAGCTTGTTCAGCTTTTCGGCGTCTTCTTGCCTCTTGTCCCAGTCCTCGGCGCGGATCGGGCGTGGTGAACCATTGCTGGGCGACTGAGGTCCGATCCAGGAACTCTTTGCACTGCCTGGCGACTGGACGACGTCCCTCAGCTCTTTGGACTCGGCGCTGAAGACTTCGCCGGCATTGTAGGAGATGGCATTTGCCTTGAGCAGCTGCTCAAAGTAGGCCAGCCTGGTCTCGAGGTAGTAGACATAGCTCCGAGGTATCTCTCTCTTGGTGATAGGATCGTACCCTACACATCGCACATTGGCCTTCTCACAGGTCGAGCAGGCGGGCAACCGTTGGTCGCATCGATTCTTGCGAACACGACAGCGATTGCAGGCGGACACATTCCTGAAGGCGGAGGTCGCCGACGCCACGGAACTGGGGGGAGGAGAGTTGCTCGAGACTGCCCCGGCCGGCTCTGGGTGGGACGGCAGGGCAGGTTCGTCGGCGGGATACGCTCGCTTGAGGCCGGCGCTCTGAGGAGAGGTCGCGGAGGAGGTCATGTCATACGGCGGGGAAGCGACACTGACATCTTCTGCCAGCGACGGTGTGGCGCGTTGCTGGAGAGAATTGCCCTATCCAGTGCTATCGGCGCGGCATCTCAATTGTGTACAGCCTAGTCACTCAGGTCAGCCTTGTGCCGCGCAACCTGATCTGCTCACGGCGGTGATGGATCCTGCCATCGCCAGCATGCGGACATCTCAGTGGCTGGCGGGGCAAAAGCATGCTCGGTCTCGCCAAATGAAGTGAGGAGACGGTGATTAGGTGGTGATCTAGCTGCCAGGCTTATCGTGAGCCTGCGTGTATGCGCGCTGTGGCCAATCGGCTCGCTGCTTTTGATCAGGGTGGCCGATAAACCAGAATCTACAGTCAGGAGGCACCGAGAGGCACCGAGAGGCACCCAGAGGCACCCAAGAGGCACCCAAGAGGCACCCAAGAGGCACCCAGAGGCACCCAGAGGCACCCTAGAGGCACTCAAGAGGCAAGAGGCATCCCTATTGTCAAGCTCGTGACGCGCACTCGGGCGACATGCAATGGGCAGGGAGCCCGGATGTGCCTGCTCTGAGCAGTCTCTCACTTCCACCAGATGCGTCTTCGTGTGCGTCTGTATCTGCGCCTCCGCCTGCAGTCCCAGTCACTGTCCTCTCACCGGGTCGACGGCTGGCTCTCTTCCGCATGCAGGTGACACGCATACGCATACGATCTGCGAACAATGCCACAACGCGATCCGACATTGGCGATACTTGCACCTCGCTTGTGCGGGATATTGCGAAGGCAAGTCAGCAGCCAGCCAGCCCGGCAGCGTCGCCGTTGCTACTGCGGTGGCTGCTTGACAGTCCATGCCATGCCATTCACATGCATGCGTGCCACTGAGCTCTCTCACAGGTCAGCACAAGCATCTGCTGTTGCACGAAGCTGGTCATCATGACAACTTCCATGCATTCCACTTCGATTCCACCACATCGTCGGCGGTGCCGCATACGCTATTTCTGGTGTCAGTCTGGTTCATAATGGTTGTGCTACCGAGGGGGAATTTTCCCCGTTGTTCAAGTCGAGTAGGACTCAACCCCGTGGCCCCCCATTCCAGAGCGGTCGCGGTGCCTTTCTCACGAGAATGATGGGACCTATCGATGCGGAGTGTTTCTCTGGGCAACGACGGGTTTGCACACTTCAATACTGCAGCGACGGTTTCCTGGATGAAGACGTAGTGGAAAAGACAGTATGCCCTCCGAGTTGCGAAGCCGTTTGTTGCTTGGCGTTCCCTGGCCAGGTTCTGACCTCTACTCGAGTCATGACAGGATTCAGGCAATACCGGCTCGCCGCACCTGGGCACGGTGTATCTCCTCCTAAGCCTCTCGTATCGTGTCCACCCGACAGCGGACAACCGAGTTTCTACCATTATGGACACCTACTCTGACCGGTTGCTTGCGGATTGCCTCTTCCACCCGACTCAGTCACACCTCGTGACGTCCACGCAAGCAGCCGGAATGCAGATGGGGCTCAGAAACATGGCATGAGTGCCCCGGTTTGACCTATTCTAAGTGCCCGACCGACGCCCGGCCTGAAGAGGGAGTAACGGGCAGTGTAGACGCAGAGGTCGAATGGGAGGGCGACACATACCAAATGCAGTCAGAACCGATCATCGTGCGGCAAGGCGTCAACAAGGCTCTGTTCACAGCAATCTTGCTTTTGCTGCAGGCTGTGAGTCAATGCAGTCATCAACGGTCTAGACTTGGGACGGGACAGGTGTGTCCATTGCACATCATGCAACTTAATCTGACCGCTATTTGAGGGTCGACCATTCGGTACGATTGACCGCGCCCCAGCGCGATCTGCGTCTCGACGGATTCGACATCTGGAACGTCTCTGCGCTGCAGAGACGGGTCAGCGCAAGGCAACCAAGTTGTCCGCCACCAAGCAGCCTTGCTGGTCGTGGGCGTTTCCTTGATGGCTCTGGCCGAAACCAGTAATTCCCTCACCGGTGAGGGGTTGGTGACATGGGCAACGATGAGCTGGCATCAGACGAGCTGCATGTCGTGTAACATCAAGACACGAATTCAATGGTTGTTGATGATGTTATTGCAGGGCTTTGGGGTGGAGATATCACGTACTGTAGCTGCCGCCTTGCAGCTTCGGCATGAAGCGCCTTGGTACAGATGTCTTGAACGAGGCTCGACGAGACAGACTGGGTAAGCGGCTCGCTGGTGGGGTGCGTTGTGTGATCCGAGAAATGAGCTGCGCATACGAAATTGTGCATGCCCTAAGGCACGTTGGCCATGCTGCATCATACGTATGCAGAGGATTTTGTCCCACGCTTTCATGTCGGAGATCATGCGTGCAGAGTGAGGCTGGACTAGTTTAGCTGCAACAATTCTTGGTCGTCACAGGTGCGAGGTCCAAGGCTTCGTGGCTCCCTACTGGCGCCGCCGGTGCCGACATCACCAGACCCGGCGTCCGCTCTTCTACAGACGGACTTGCCATGCGGTGAGGGAGGCAAACAGGAATTGCGATTCCTCCCATCAACGAGACCCAGGGCAGGAGCCAGTGACAGCTGGCCGGTTGGTAACGCTGTCGCTAGTCGGCTATATCGCTGCCCAAGGTCCTTTTGCAGTCCGGTAGAAGCGCAACGGTGTGGGGTTAGGTTGGGTCTATTCTAGCCCGCTGGACATGTACAGTACTGGGTACTCGTACATCATGCATCGGAATTCTGCTCAGATATCCGAAATAGACATGGGGTGCAGAAGGCCTAGCACAGTTGACGTCGCAACAAACATCCTGTCTCGGGCCTCCAGATTACTCAAACCTGTCAGACTCTTGGATACCTAGCCTGGCGCCGTTACAGGTTGGCAATCTCGCCGTGGGATGCGACGAGCAGACATGTGCCAAGCAGCATTGGAAGAAGACGCGGCACGGAGAGAGGAGCCGAGGACTGGAAGACTTGAAACACCGACAGACGAGCCAGGCCGCTGAGACGTCGTCGGGCCTAACGCAGCTAAACATGGGACTAAGCCAACAATGCAGCACGGGCGTCAGTCTTCCAACGAGCGAACCAGTCCCCCGGAATCGGTGAATAATTCTGATTCCTTGTACTCAGTATGGAGTACTCGTACCCGTTCTCTGTCACTCCTGGGGCTGCTTGCGACCCGGAGGACTCAGTGATGCAAACAGTCCCTCCCGACGCATGCCACCGACTGAGCCACCGCGGCCACATAGCGGCGATGCGCGGCGTCTTCTGGAAAACTGAATCAGGGGCAGGCTAATTAATATCCCCGAAGGATTTGGGTTCAGCAGCTCCCCTTTCCGAGGCCTCGCCAGTCGCTAGAAAACTCAAATGTGTGAAGGTTTCAGACCATCAACGGCTCCCCTGCTTGCAGTGTGCTGGAAACTTTCAGCTACGAATCAAGCCCATGCGCCGTCACTTGCTCGCAGACTCGATCACAACCTTGAGCTCCAGTTGGCTGCGCATCCGAACTACGGTACCGAATCTGTCGTCTTGATCATCTCGTCAATCACTTGCCGCCAGTCGTGAGGGGATTGACAGCATCACTCGTGGATCCCGGACTCTGCATATGATGGAAGAGTCCCGCGATGGCCTGAAGTCTTATCCATGTCGAAATATTGCATCCGTTCGGAGTCGCTGGCTCCTCAAATCACATCCAGCCCTGTCGAGTGATGTATACGCGATTGCGCGGCGTGGTGCATCGCCCGCACCAGGTCAGACAACCTTTCCTTCGTCTTCTCTCTTCCCTGACAACCAGCCTTCTTTCTCCGTCCTACGGGGTACGAGTCGCTCATCTTCCGGATCCTTTGCGGCCTTTCATCTCCAGTCCCCTGCCCAAAAGTGCTGAGTCATTTCCTGGTCACGCGGCTCGCTGCAGCTTGCCCCTCTTGATACCTCATCCCGCATTGCAAGCTGTGCCAGCCGAAGCTGGAGACTCCTGATGACTGACGTTGATTCGGCCACGGATGACAGCGAGTGGGTAATGTCAAAATAGGTCGCCTTGTATCCAGCCAGCCATCAACGTGATGCTGCAATCCGAATATCCGCCTCTGCTTGTGGAGTACTGCGTATTGCTACAACCCCAATCTCTGGATGCATAGCTTACCACCTGACACGTACATTGTACCGACTACAGAGTATGTACTCACGCAGCACCGCTGGAGTGGCAATTATGCTGCGACCCAAGCAGCTTCTTCGGTAAAATTGTGCCCTGTCTCCGCCTGCTACCCGAACCGGTTTGTTCGTTGTTCGGTAGGGCATGACCGCCTCTTTCACCGCCTCTGGCGTCTACCTATCAAACGCTCGCCCGGCAGCGACGAGTCGATCTGTGACCAACTGTCGGCCGTGATGTGTGCATTGTTCGTTGACCGGTACAGCGTCGAGTCACATGGTGACCGAAGCGAGTAAGATGACATGTCGCTGATGCAGCCCGGCGTGCTCATCACACAGCAGTGCCACCCACCCTGGCACGGGCGTAAAGGCTCACAGGGGCAGCGGGCTTTTTTTAAGGCGCCTGCTGGGTCCTGGCTGCGCAGCCGCTTACTCGCAACCGGAAGGCAAAGGCAGAAAGCTTCTGGGGCCATCTAGCGGCAACCCAGCGTTAGCCGAGTGGTGGAATTGCCCCCGCTAGAGGTAGACACTCTTCGGTAAGCCTGATCCCCGGGGACCGGAAGACCAGGATCTCGTCCCTAGCCCAGCTGCCTCCGGCCCACTTCAGCTTGCTCAGGGGTAATTGCCCTTCGGCGGACGAATCGCGGTGCTTACCGTGGCCTCAGCATGAGAGCCATGCCTATCGATCCTCCGAGTCATGAGGCTTCGTGCAGGCCCCCGGGGCCAACGATGGGCCCTGGCTGGAGGTACCGCTGTCGCGGTTCCTTGGGCTCTCGGCCTATTCTGGCTGAACCTGGTCGGATAAGCCTGACACTTTTCCACGATAGATGATGTTGTCTTCAGTCCTTCGAGCCTGGCCCCTCCAATGAGCATTTGGATTCCTGCTCCCGCTGCGCCCCCTTCTCGCGCGGTTGTCCCGTTCAGTCTGTCTGTGAGAAGTCCTGAGATCCTGGCCGTGATGGCAATCCCGGATCCACACCGCCATCGACCGCATGGCAGCCCTGAAACCCACCTTCCTGAAAGCCCAAACGGCAGGGAAAAGCCAAATGGACCTGTGGCCCTGTTGATATGCCCATGCTAACCTCTTCTGTTGCCGGTCTGGATCCACCAGGTCGTTTCCCCCCGCCACTGCCCGCGTCCAGGATCTATCGACATCCCACCTGGCTGTGGTCGCACCGTCACCACTTTCCGGTGCCTTCCTGACTTCGCCCTTAGTCGCCCAACGTCCCAGAGCGGACGGTCTGGAGAACATCATCTCCCAACCCCGGTCTGCGCGCGGACATTTTTTCTTTCGGGTGCCATCAACCTGGTCTGACGGCAGGTCCGGCTTTGGGCTCTAGCGCAGTCACTGGAGCTGCCCAACTCGGCCTGCTGTGGGCAGCCGGGCGCGGATGTCAGAGACTTTGCCTGAGAGTTCCGCTTCCTCACCCGTGTCACCGTGGCTTGATTTGGCCACTGGCTCTGCGAGAAATGTGTCTCCATCGCAAGTCCTGCCATGCTGCCGCGTCTGTGTGCTACGTACTATCCCAACTGCCTCCCAAGCTGTCCACCGCTTCTTCTTCCACGCGGGCGGATGCACCATTCCGCCAGCAGACACCGAAGGGAGCGCCCCGCTCGCCCTGGTCTATCGTTGCTGTTTCTTCTGTCTCCTGGAAATTTCTCCTGGCCCTTAATATGGCTGTCCCCTCGCGCTGTCAGTCGGACGACCCTTTTCTTCGTCCACCTGCCTGCCGCCCGTGCCCTCGCCCGACGACGATACCTCCCTCCCTCTCTCGGTGACGATGCCTAACCGTCTCGCCAGACTGTTCCTCGGCGAACATGTCGACGACAGCTTCCCCTTCAGACAATTGGGCGTTCTCGGTACGTCATCTCGCAAACCCCCCCCCCCCCCCCCCCCCCCCCCCAAGGCCCCCAAATTGGCAACCTGTTGCGAGGAGGAAAAGAGAGGCCCGACTAACACAGCAGATCGATAGCCATATGTCGCCTATGCGAACCAATCGCCTTCATGTCCATCTTTCCCTACGCCTACCGCATGATTGAGTCGTTCAACATCACCCAAAATGAGTCGCAGATATCGGTCTACGCCGGCATGCTCATCACCGCGTTTGCCTTTGCCGAGTTCTCGACCGGCATGATCTGGGGCCGGATTAGTGACCGCGTAGGCCGCAAGCCGGTCTTGATAATGGGCCTCGTCGGCACGGCCTTGAGCATGATCTGCTTTGGCTTTGCCCGCACGCTGCCGGGCGCCATCATGGCCAGGGCCCTGGGCGGCCTGCTCAATGGGAACGTCGGAGTGCTCCAGACGACCGTGGCCGAGCTGGTGACCAAGAAGGAGCACCAGCCCCGTGCGTATTCCGTCATGCCTGTGATTTGGAGCATCGGCTCGATCATCGGGCCCTCCATCGGCGGAACTCTGGCCATGCCGTGTGACAACCTGGGGTTCCGCCGAGGCGGCATTTTCGACAAGTACCCGTTCTTGCTGCCGAACCTGTTCTGTGTCACGATCCTCGTGGTCGGCATCACCGTCGGCATCCTGTTTCTCGAGGAAACACATGCCGAGAAGAAGAACGACGTGGACTTTGGACGTGAGTTGGCCAAAATGCTTCTGCGAAGCACAACCCGCCGGCGGACGACCAAGACGCAGGAGAAGGGCACCACCGGAAAACCGGCCCTCGCCCTCGCCCTCGCCGTGGAGGAGCCCACGGATCTGCTGTTCGACGACAACGACCCGCCTCCAGGGTACCGTAGTATGGAAAGTTCTCCGCTCCTCCGCTCGACGTCGACCAAGGAGATGGACGCCGAGATGCTGCGCGAGAAGGAACCACGCGGCGTCGTCAAGACGTTCACTAGGCAGATCATCCTGATCATCATTGCATATGCATTCCTTGCTTAGTAAGTGCATGACCCGTTCTGCTCGATACTCTTTGCACGAGTGGGCGAATCTTTGAGCCCGTCCCAAAAAAAGAACCCGCCAACTAACTTCGGCCAAAGTCACAGCGTCTCGTTCGACGCCCTGATGCCCACGTTCCTCAGCGAGGAGCGCATGCAGTCCAAGCCCGTGCTGCCGTTCAAATTCTCGGGCGGATTCGGCCTCAGCACCCGCGCCATCGGCTTCATGATGGCCGTGCAGGGCGCGTACTCGATCTTCGCCCAGTTCTTCATCTTCCCCTTCATGGCCAAGCGGCTGGGCACGCTGTACTCGTCGCGCGTGGTCCTGACGGTCTGGCCGATTCTGTACTTTGCCGTGCCCTACCTCGTGCTCCTGCCGGAGCGGCTGCAGAAGCCCGGCATCTACCTGAGCCTGGTCATCAAGATCACGTTCCAGGCCGTGTCGTTCCCGTCCAACGCCATCCTGCTGGCCAACGCCGTGCACTCCAAGTCGGTGCTGGGCACGGTCAACGGGTTCGCCGCCTCGATGGCGTGCCTGGCCCGGGCGTGCGGGCCCGTCGTCACCGGCTCCATCCATTCAGCCGGCCTGAAACTCGGGTGCAACGGTCTGGCCTGGTGGGCGTGCGGCCTGGTCTGCGCGGCCGGCGCGCTCGAGAGCTACTGGATGGAGGATCCCGATTCGCGGCCGGACCGCCCGGCCGGCGAGGGCGACGAACGGACGTGCGAACCGCTGCTCCATCCGTCGGTGGTCGAGCCGAGCGATGAACTGCTGTCGCCGCGCACCGAGCGCATGAGTTTCATGGACGACCTGGATCTGACCGAGAGGACGCCGGAGAAGGTATGAAGTGCGCGCGACACTTCACTGGACCAACGGACGTGCATACACTTCACGCCGTATGTCCGATTGGATTGGATTCAATTCGGATAGTACGAGTGTGTCATATCCTTGGTCGCCTTTGGGTTTCAATCTCAGTACCGACCCCGACAGCCCACACTTTTTAGAACACCAGGACACCACACCGAACCATACCACAAGCACCGCACTACACCACACGCACCACGACATCACACCACACGCACCACGCTACAACACACCACCACCACCCTTACCATCTTTCACCCTCCACACACCGATTTCCTTTGCAGTTACAAAGATCTGAATTCCCAAGCGGCGCGAGCTGCGATACCTTTCATCATCGTCGTCATCATGGACGTATTAGAATGTTACTTGGCCAAGCTTGGCTGGACAGGCATGGCAGGGCAGGGCCGCACAGGGCAGGGCAGGAAAGGAAAAAACAGAAAGAAAGAACCCACGAAAACTACTCACTGGGACTACTCACTGGGCTGGTCATCTCATTTCATTGCACTCGACTTTGACTGGGAGAGGAATGGCGTGCGGTGCAATGCGTTGCGTTGCGTTGCGTATTGCGCATCTGATGGGTCGAATTCGACTTGGGTCGGCGCGCTTGATTGTTGTTTTGGTCGTTGTCGTTGTCGTTGTTGCTGCAGTGGTGGTGGTGCTGTCATCAGCAGCCCATCTCCGGTCTGTCGTTCTCGTTTCTCTCTCTCTCTCTCTCGGGGCATCATGTCTTTTGGTATTTTGTCATTCTGGTTTTCGTTGATCGCCTTTTTTCTTTTTGCCACGGAAAAAATATTTACTGGGAGGCTTTTTTGTCCAAGATACCTTGCGGGTTTTTGCCCGGCGGCCGCATTTTTTCAGGCTATCTGATGTGCATGTGTTGTGATGTGGTGTGATGCGATGCGATGGGTGTTTCTGGGGCGCTGGCTGGTGCGTGGGATGGGATTGCAAGGGATTGGGATGGTATGGGAGAGGGGGAAGCGATATACAATGAATGTACTGTAACATCAGAGAAGGAGAAGATACCTAGCTAGGATAGGATAGGATAGGATAGGATAGGATAGGATATCCTTAACGCAAAGGAGATTAGACTAAGACAAGACTAAGAAAGAGAAGAAGACATGATGACATTGATGATATTAACTGACGCGGCGTGGTGTTGTATGCCTAAGCACCACTTCAATAGATGAGGATTCTGATTAATGGTAGATCCGGAAGATGTTGAGGTTTTGAGGTTTGTATCTTTGGACGCGGGAGGAAAAGTGAGCTGGATGAATACTTACTCGTTCACGCTCGTATTGTGCTCGCAGTGGTACAGAGTTATTATGGACAGAGTGGCTGGTGCAGTATTGACCAGGTGGATTTGATGAGTGAGTGAGAGAGAGAGAGAGAGAGAGAGAGAGAGAGAGAGAGAGAGAGAGAGAGAGAGAGAATGAATGAAAGCGGCGGCGATGCCTGCCACCTTACTGAGAATTACTATCGTATCTATCACCATTGAGCCTGTTGAATAACTCGACCGGACTGAGACTTTAGGCGCCTTTGATTGTACTTCAATTCGCCATCAGAACTGAGGCATCTGTTCTGCGGCACTTCAACTGGCCGTCACATCACTCTCGCATCACTCTCACATCACTCTCACATCACTCTCACATTGACATTGACATGGACAAATCGCCTCGGTGCTTCAAGCTTGGCGCCCGAACTCGGAGAAAGAGCCGTACACAGTAACCAGGTACCGGTATCCGGCTCATATGTACTCCAACACGAGTCAACGTACTCTCACGACTCTGTAGCTCGTACCTTGTGCATTAACGGGAAGACGGGCAAGGGTTTGAACCACGATCAATAACTCGTCGCCTGATCCCCAATTCCTATTTTCCCCTTCTCCTCTACCTATCCACATCCACCATGGCACCCAGCCGGGCAGCCAGACACACTCTCGCGCTGTGTCGTGTGCGCGTCGTCAACTCGTCTCGACAACGTCCTCTCGATGTAGCATTCTCCCGGCCATGGATATCGCGGAGACACTTTGCCTCTACCGCCGAGTCGTCTGCAACAGCAACGGCAACGACAAAGGCGACCAAAGTATCGCCTCTACAGGGGATTCGAGTGCTGGATATGACGCGGGTCTTGGCTGGGGTACGTATTGCCTGAGATCGTTCTCTGAGTCTTGCTGTTGCTCTGCGGAAAGCATCGTGGTCTTTCTGGGCACTCGAGTCCTGAAGCTGCGTTAGCAGAGGTACTGAGCTTTATGTGGTTATTGGAATATTGCCTGTTTGTCCGCTTGCTTGGAGGCTAACATCTGGAACGCCATACAGCCTTATTGTACGCAGATATTGGGTGATCTAGGGTACGTTCTCATTATGTTGCACTACGTTCCTTTGCGTTGCGCCTCTGTTTTCCTCATACATTGTCTATCCCTTTGGCAGGCATCATCTGGTCTCAGCTGGCTAGTGAGAGTCTGGGCGGAGCATCGCCTTTCCGGCATGCCAGTACCACAAACTGTTCCTGTTACAGTAGGACACATTTACCGCAAGCATAGACTCCTTCTATCCATGTGACCAGAAGTTCCCAGAGACTGACGACACCCCTTTCTAGCGCCGAAGTCATCAAGATCGAACATCCCACGCGCGGAGACGACACTCGAGCATGGGGTCCGCCGTTTGCGAAATATAAGCCCGACGGTGAGTTATTCCACTCCTTGGAACTCTCGACACCACCAGTCGGAACGTGATCAATCCCAAACATGCACGGAGAATATACTGACCAGCCATCTATCCCTTAGCTGCCGTCAAAGGTGACAGGCCCGGCGAAAGCGCCTACTTCATCGGGGTATGTCCATAAGTCGCTATGCATTCTGGCCTTGATGTGCCATCTCTTTCCTTCCTTCCATCTCTTCATCTGTCATGCTTCGCGGTAAAAGCTTACAATCCCCCAGGTCAACCGCAACAAGAAATCCGTCGGCCTCTCATTCCAACACCCCGACGGGATCAAGATCCTGCACGACCTCGCCAAAACCGCCGACGTGCTCGTCGAGAACTACATTCCCGGCTCGCTGAAGAAATACCAGCTCGACTACGAAACCGTCCGCACGCTCAACCCCAGCCTGATCTACGCCTCTATAACAGGATACGGACAGTACGGGCCCTACGCGTCACGCGCCGGCTACGACGTCATGGTCGAGGCGGAAATGGGCCTCATGCACATCACAGGCGAGCGCGACGGGTCGCCGGTCAAGGTGGGCGTCGCGGTCACGGACCTCACGACGGGACTGTACACGTGCAACGCCATCATGGCGGCGCTGCTGGCGCGGCAGCGGACGGCCACGGGCCAACACCTCGACGTCTCGCTCTCGGACTGCCAGGTGGCGACGCTGGCCAACATCGCGAGCTCGGTGCTGGTGAGCGGCGAGCGCGACGGCGGGCGGTGGGGCACGGCGCACCCGAGCATCGTGCCGTACAAGGGCTTCAAGACGCGCGACGGCGACGTCATGCTCGGCGGCGGCAACGACCGCCTCTTCGGCATCATCTGCGACAGGCTGGGCAAGCCCGAGTGGAAGAGCGACCCCCGCTTCGCGAGCAACGACGCCCGCGTGCGCAACCGCGCCGTCCTCGAGCGCATGATCGAGGACGTCACCCTCACGCGCACGACGGGCGACTGGTTGGCCGTGCTGGAGGGGAGCGGCCTGCCGTACGCAGCCATCAACGACGTCAAGGACACGCTGGAGCACGAGCACGTCCAGGCCAGGGGCATGGTCACTGAGCTCGAGCATCCCGCGTGCGGGCCCGTCAAGGTCGTCAGCCACCCGGTCAAGTACTCGGAGAGTTTGGCCGGCGTGAGGTCTCCGCCGCCGACGTTGGGAGAGCATACGGATCAAGTGCTGCGGGAGGTGTTGGGCATGGAGGCCGCAGAGGTGGAGAGGTTACGCATCGATGGAGTAGTGGCGTAATTAGGGTGTGTGCGAGTAATGGAGGGTGTATATAATCAAAACGCGGTGCATACGGGAGCCAAAAAAATAAAAAAAATAAAGACGATTGAGGCCGAGACGTTGGATGTCATACCACAATCCCCAAAAAATACTGCTCAACGAAACAGTTACTTCTATCTCCTTCCACAAATTACTCCCTTAATGGACCAACACAACATATCATGTGACTACGGTCCCGCTGACTTCAAGGCAAATACTACCCCCTTTCCCTCACAACCCATCATCCTCAACGCCCACCAGCTTACAGCTTACGCTCCATAGTCTCCTCACCGCCTCAACATCGTCCGTCCTACCAGGAAGATACCCGCCATCAAGTAACCCCCACCCCTCTTTCACCGGGACTGCCTCCCCACAGTCCTCCAAATACATCGCTCCCCGGCCTTCAAATCTCTTCCCAACCGCCGCCAACACGCTCGTCGCGGCACCCTGCTCGGGATTCTTCTGGATATTGAGGATCCGCATGATATTCTTGATGAAATACCAGCTTCGCAGAAATTCGGGGACCACTCCATCGGCGTGTTGCTGCAGCCCCGTACGGATGCCACCGGGCATGACTGCCAGGCCAAACACGCCGGGTCGGCCGCCTTCAGCGAAGGATCCGTAGCGGCGCGTGATTTCGCTGGCCATGTACACATTTGCCAGTTTGCTTTGCGCGTACCCTTTTGCTGGTGTATATACGCCAGCTTTTTCCAAGTTGAGGTCGTCGAACTCGATGGGCGAGTTGCGGTGCGCGCCGCTGCTGAGCGCAACCACGCGGGATGGAAAATGCATCGTGGACGACGCCTTCAATGTCGGTAGGAGAATTTGCGTGAGGAGGAAGTGCGACAGGTGGTTCACTGCGAAATGGCGCTCGAAGCCATCTTTTGTCTTCGCGAATGGCACGTGTCGGATGCCGGCGTTGGTGATGAGGATGTTGAGCTTGGAGGACTGGGAGAGGAAGGCACGAGCACAAGAGCCGACGTTGGCGAAGGAGTCGAGATCGAGCTGGAGAAGGTGGACTTTTGGGTTGGAGAGGAGGTCGGCACCTAGAGCCTCACGGGCTTTGGAAAGGCTGCGCGCGGTTAGATACAGTGTGGCGCCAGTGGCGACTAGGGCGCGAGCAGTTTCAATTCCAAGACCGCTGCTGCAACCTGTGATAAGAATGACGAGGTCAGGCAAGGCAGCGACTCGTTCGTTGTCTTGAACAACCTGTAAGGCGGTAGGTCGGGCGTCACCCGGCCCTTTTGGATGGCGGTGAGCAGCTGCGTAGGGATTTCGAGGCTCGTCCATGATCTCTGCACGGCGGAAACAGACAACGTGGAGTTGATATGCAGAAGAAGAGGTTCCAGCCGCTTGAGAAACCATGATATTCGTTGTTTTATGGACGATTTACCAGTGTCACGTGTGTCGGGCCCGAAGTAGCCTGGCGTCAGCCTGGGGCATTATCGCCGGAGGATCGTATGTGGTTGGCACCACTTCCAGCGTTGGACTGGTTTCACTCTGTCCTTGAAAGGATATTAGCTCAGTTGAGGGTTGGCGGTGTGTCCGCCGCCATTTGCTGCCGTCGAAGCTCCCCCCTTGCTGACAGAGCCGCCTGATCAGCCATTGACTGTGAGCGTCATCAAATGCCGGAGCCAGACCTGCTTCAGTCGAAGCCTTCAAAATTATCCCCTTGGTCTGCAGCCTGGACTTGCTGTTGTCGAAGCTGTTTAATCATGTCCGAAGTCTCAGCTTCGTATCGTTTCTGATCTTCCGTCATCTTCGTGACTCTTTCGTATTCTCGCTTGGCTTCCTTCTTGGACCGCTTGACTTCTTTACTTGCCTTGCGCTCAAGCTTTTCTGACCAGGCAACGGTGCTCTTTCGTTTCTTTGGGTCTGCCGGTTTGTCCTTCGGCCCTTCCGCAAGCATTTGCTTTCGATGTTGATCTCGCTGCTTGTCTTTGTAGCGGTAGTTGTGCCAGTCAACATCTGGACTCTTGTATGGTGGCAGTTTGATGTTCTTGAGTTCTGCAATCTTCGGCATCTTCAGAAGACCCCATGCTGCAGCATGATCATGCCAATCAATTTGACTCAGAGTGAAGATGGACTTTGCCTCGTGTTTGGAGTAACTCCGGACCCAGCTGACGAAGGCTCGTTGAGCCTTATCATGCAGAGCACGGTCGCCGAGGACGATCTTCTGGAACTTCTCCCGGGCCGCAAAGCATCCCTCGTCTGATGCGGAGATATCGGGATCCGCCAAGGGTTCGATGGGAGTGTGACGCACCCTCAAGAATTCGATGTAGTCTTTCTCGTGAGGAAGTAAGAAGACCACACTGACACCCTTTCGACCAGCGCGACCTGCACGTCCACATCGATGCAGAAACACTTTCGGATCAGATGGAGGGTCTACCTGCACGACAAGGTCCACAGATGGAACGTCAAGGCCCCTTGCGGCAACATCTGTCGTCAGAAGCAAGGCTGGAGAGGCGGAATTGGTGAACCGGACGAAGTTCTTCTCCCGTACGTTCGCTGGGTGCTTACCGTGCAGAGGCACCAAAATGACATCCGGAGGGAGAATGGCGGGCAGCAATGCTTGGAAGTAGTCCACCGCAGCACAGGTTGACAAATACACGATGGTCCTCAACGGTATGGGGTCCCAGCGGCGTAACAGAAGTGCCAGTGCAGAGAATTTCTCTGAAGCCCTTGTGACCGCATATGCCATTTGCAGACTGGCTGGTGTCCGCTTGTCTTGCACCCCATTCGCGCCTTTGACTTTGACCTCAATCTTCACCGGGTTTCGTAGCCCCACGCGGATGAGCTGATCCACCGCTTCGCTTACACTTGCACTGAAAAGACCTGTTCGCCTTTCTTTCGGCAACAGGTTGATGATCTTGGTGAGGTCGTCTTTGAAGCCATGGTCAAGTAAGCGGTCCGCTTCGTCAAGGACCAGTACTTCGAAGGAGGATTTGGGATAGTGAACATCGCGAGACGTCATGATATCAAGTAGGCGGCCTGGTGTTGCGATTAGGACATTTGGCGCCGTCTTCAAGAACTTGCTCAAATCTTGCGCCGGGGTTGTCGATCCACCTACGAGCAGCTGCGGAACGACTTTGTGAGTCGACTGAGTCTCACCCTCTACGGCGCTCTTTCCGTCAGTGGGCTCTGAAGTGTCTGTTGGCCCGAGTTCTGCAGCGGAAGGAGGGTGAAATCGTAATAGCGAAACGAGGACATTGTATATCTGCGTGGCCAATTCCCGAGTAGGAGAAATGATGATGGCACCAACATGATGCTTCTTGATTGGTTCTTCCAGCCTCAACAGCTTTTCCACGACGGGTATGAGATAAGCCAATGTCTTGCCGCTGCCGGTGACAGCCTCCACCACGACATCCTTGTAGGCCATAAAGAGAGGAATCGTCGAGGCTTGAACGGGGGTCATGCGGGTGAAATTCAAGGCGGAGACGGCATCGATGATCCAGGGAGAGAGCGAAGGGTTGAGAGCATCCCATGCCCGGGAGGACGCTCTCTTCGCATGCTCTTTGCCTCTGTCCGGGGCCATGCTTGTGTTTGAAAACAGTGAGTCCAAAGCGAAGGACAAGTGAGGCGCAGATGAGACAAGCCAGAGAAAAGTCGAAGGTCTCCGGCTGTTCTTCGGCAAATAACTGTTATCGATAAGCGAGGATCCGACAATGAACACCACGCTCGACCGAGTCGTGCGCGTCCACAGCTTCTCCGACTCTGGATGGTTTGATACCGACTCGGTACCCTGGTCAGGTCAAGTGAGTAGTGAAGTCGATGTCCGCTTCCGAGTCCTGCGTCTTCGCTGAGATACCCCGCTCATATTAAAGACAGACAATGCTCCCAGAACAGCTGCTGACTTTGTTTCCCGAAGTGTGGCGGTACGGGAGAACTTGTGGAGAAAATGAGCTTACCTTGAAGACGATCAGGGAAGGCAATGCTTCCACTGGTCCCTGGCTATGTGCTAGGTTTAATATCTGTGAACCTTGAAAACCGAGCCTACCGCTGACATATCTCTCTTCATATCGCCCCATCCTCACTAACTTTGCGAGCACAACCTTGCTCGACAGGAACAGAGCCATATCGATTACCGCAGTTGAACCGTGAGCCGTTACCCCGAGACTGTTCAGTCACTCTGATACTATGACACCAAGGTCGACGCGGGCATGCGGCCCTCGAGTATCTCATGAACCGAGGCAAGGTGGATGAAGCCACCCAGACCAGTGACAACCTGGGTCAAGTGGACTTCCATTGCCTCCAGGAACGACATCGTGAACCTTGGGCAGAGCTGAAGTTCACTGTCAGCATTCGAAGAACTCGCTATACAAGACAGATGGCACAACCAGGGACGGTATCCGAGAACACGGTCTGCACGAGGAGGAGTACGACTGTGTTGGGGAAAGGCCTGTGATATTGTCTTCTTACAGCCACTCTGACCTATTTCCCCACCGCCAGAATCTCCTGTTCAATAGCCTCGCCAAAACTCTTAGTATTTCCCTTGCCTCCCATGTCCGCCGTGATGACATGATCTTCCGACCTCGCAAGCACATTCTCGACAGCCTTCAACATGGCCGCAGCCGCGTCCGTGAATCCAAAGTGTTCCAGCATCATCTGACCCGCCCAGATCATGCCCACCGGATTCGCTATCCCCTTGCCAGCGATATCCGGCGCACTCCCGTGGACGGGTTCAAAGAGACTCGGAAACTGTCCCGTGGGATTGATATTCCCCGAGGGCGCGATGCCAATGGTACCCGTGCACGCGGGACCCAGATCAGAGAGGATATCGCCAAACAGGTTGCTGCCGACGATGACGTCGAAGATCTGCGGCCGCTGGACGAAATGCGCCGTCAAGATATCAATGTGATACTTGTCGACCTTGACGTCCGCGTACGCCTTTTGCATGTTCTCGACGCGCGTGTCCCAGTACGGCATCGTGATACTAATGCCGTTGCTCTTCGTCGCGCTCGTCAGGTGCTTCTTCGGTCGGCTCTGCGCAAGTTCAAACGCGTATTTGAGCACTCTGTCGACGCCCGTCCTCGTCATGACGGTTTCCTGGATGACCGTCTCCCGGTCTGTTCCCTCGAAGATCTTGCCCCCAATACTGCTGTACTCGCCCTCCGTGTTCTCCCTTACGATCCAGAAGTCGATGTCCCCCGGCTTGCGGCCCGCGAGCGGACACCGCACCCCAGGCATCAGCCGCGCGGGCCTCAAGTTGATGTACTGGTCGAACTCCCTTCTGAACTTCAACAAACTGCCCCACAGGCTGATATGGTCGGGGACTTGATCCGGCATGCCCACGGCGCCGAAGTAGATGGCGTCGAATTTTGAAAGCGTAGCATTCCAGTCGGGAGGCATCATGTCGCCGTGTTTTCGGTAGTATTCGCAGCTTGCAAAGTCGAACTCCTCGAACTCTAGCTGGATGTCGAAGACCTTGGCCGCCGCTTGCAGGCAGCGCACGCCGTAAGGCATGACTTCGGTGCCGATGCCATCGCCGGGGATGACGGCGATTTTGAGCTTCTTCTGCTGTTGAGGGCCCATCGTGGAAATACACAGGACAGGACAGTACAGTGCGATGGAGATGGTCGTCCTGAAGCCGCAGCGAAGACTACCCTAATTCACAGCGATATGATATCACCGGCGAGGATTGAGGAGAACCCCAGTCACGCATAACGAATTATATAGCATCACTGATCGGGGTTACCTTTGCGCGGACAATGCTTTCTCCGCGTGGTCCTCGTTTCGGTCATTGCGAAGTCGGAGTCCAACACCGGCGGAGAGCAGCCTCAGGAGCTCTTCAGGAGCTCCTTCAACCTGATTTTACAAGTGCTATTCCCGTTGGGCGGAATGGTGGTGATCGCAATGGACATCTGACGCGGAAGAAAGGTACAATAGGTTCGTTTCCCATTGACCGTAAATGCGATCGAAGCCCGATTTGAGGTCAAGAACAAGATTTAGATATCATTTGTGCGTACTTATGACGGTACCTCCTGATTATTCAAAGAGGTTCAATGGTCCTTATGTATCCGTCGAGTACTACGGAACACACGTTCATCTCCTGTGGTAAATATATCACGCAAAACAGCCAGCGCCATCATCAGGGACTACGGTACGACATCATCCAGATTTGCGTACTCACCAGGGCCTACCCATTTACTCCAACACCGACGTACCATCTAATGTACCAATATACCCACGCAAGATGACATCAATCGAGTCGATCATGCTCTTGTCGCGTACATATTGGTATTCGTCGCAAATCACATTGCCAGCGAGAATGGACGACAGTCCAGCAGAGGAGAATCCCAGGGGCCTGGGTGCCTGGACAGTGACTTTCAGGAGAGCCTAGCCCAACAAAGATATACCTATACGACTACACACATCAGAAGAGAACCTGTCTTCCCCGAAGGACGTGAGCCGTGGAGGACATACCCAATTAGTAATATGAGCAGTCAACACACGAAGAGCTTCCGGCCACTGCATTTCCCAGAACATATTTTACCCTCAAGCTGATACTGATCACCTCGTTACTCACGACTTATCCGCAAAGATGAGGCTGATTATCAGGGACGCACGGCTATGCGTATGATGCCACCTACTGTAAGATGCCTAGGAGGCAGCTTGGCCCTACCGGGCCGAGGTCCATGTCGGCATCGTCCCCCTCACTCCTGGTCTAATTACCATCTACAGACATACGTCCAGTGCCAGTAAGTAAGTATGTATGTAGTTGTCTTCCGCCGTACAAGACATGTAAGGCCACCAAGGCGGGCGTCTTACCTTGGGTTATGAAAGCCGCATAAACACCAGGTGACAATTCTGCCGCTCAACACCACAACCAGTAGTCCCTTTTGATCACGCGCACGGAGCGGCCCTAGAGTCCTCGACACGAAACTCGACACCGACACATACTCCCAAAACGGACTGGAGCACACACAAACACCACGTACAATACCGACCCTGAAGACACGCACAAATACCGACCCAGAAGCACCACCACCACCACCACCGCCACCACCACAATGGCAACAACAATAGCAACAGCCACAGCCGACCTCCGGGCCCAAAACCTCTTCAGGTTCGACCACCAGGTCGCGCTCATCACCGGCGGAGCCTCGGGCCTAGGCGAGATGGCCGCCCAAGCGTTCGTCCAGAACGGCGCCAAAGTCTTCATAGCCAGCCGCAAGGAGAGCGAGCTGCAAAGCGTGGCGCAACGACTGAACGCCCTCGGGCCCGGCACGTGCGAGTACATCGTCGCGGATCTGAAGGACAAAGCGGGCTGCGAGAGACTAGGCGCCGAGGTCAAGAAGCGGACGGACGTGCTCACCGTGCTGATCAACAATTCGGGCGCTACGTGGTGAGTTGCGTTGAGTTTTGCTTGCTTGTCATCGAGAACGAAAGGCATTGCATTGCCTTGCCGTTTTTTCTTTCTTGGTCGACTTTGTCCTGGTCTTTTTCGGGCCTGTATCATTATAATTTACTCACACGTTTACGATGCGCCGCCAGGGGTGCGCCCGCCGACGATTTCCCCGAGCACGGCTGGGACAAGATCATGGCGTTGAACGTCAAGGCGATATTCTACCTGACTGTCGAGTGAGTGCTTGCGGAGATGCTATGCGAGCACCAGCGCTAACGCACCGGGAGACTGGTTCCGCTTCTGGAAAAGAGCGCGGCCAAAGATCTGCCCTCGAGGGTCATCAATATAGCGTCCGTGGCAGGGCTCATGACGAGTGATCCCACCGTGACTGAGGAGGGCGGTCTGTCGGTCGTTGGCCACGGAGCCTACAGCTGTATGATATGCCCTTTTTTTCCCCCATCCGAGCTTGTGTGCGGACGACACTGGCTGATCGACTGGCTGACTGACTGACTCTGTTGTGCTGTAGATGGGCCCTCAAAAGCAGCGTGCATCCACCTCTCGCGACAGCAGGCGTCGCAATACGCGCCGCGGAATATCTTGGTCAATTGCATTTGTCCGTAAGTCAAGGGCGGACGAAAACCATTGCGGACGAGACTGCAAACGCTAACAATCTGGGAACACCAGGGGCTTGTTCCCGTCGAGAATGTCGAGTTTCGGCATCCAAAAGAGTCTCGATTTCTTTCTGAGCTCGCAGCCTACGGGGAAGATTGGAACGCCCGAGGATTTCGCCGGGCTAGTGCTCTACCTCTGCAGCCGCGGGTCGGGTCATGTCACGGGGAATGTGATAGAGATTGATGGTGGGAGCATGCGCAGTGGCTGGAGGCTCAAAGCGAAGAGATCGAAGATCTGAACCATCGTGTTGATATGTCAAGCCATGACCGGAGATCTAGATCGGTAGGTAGAGTTGTGTTTCGAGGCCTAATCCCCCGGCATCTTTGTGATTGATCTTGGTTTAAGCCGCGTCCTCTTCGTCTTGCTTGCCTGTGGTTGGAAGGAACCCCGATACATGGTTGCTCATCCTGTCTTGGGCGTCCCAGGCACAGTCCCATCGACTGGCGGTGATTCCACGTCTGTCGATGCACACTCGAGAGCGCTGATCGCAAGCTTGGCCTCGTCGACGTCCCCAATCCGTGGTCCCGTGAAGTGGTTCCTTGCGTACGAGACATATTAGAAGACGCTGATAGGTGCAAAGAAGGTAAATACCACGCTGGCATAGTTCATGGTCGCCGCGGTGAGAGAGAGGACTGAATTTTGACTATATTCCTGCCCCAGACAACGGATATGGCAACGCCGGCAGCATAGGAAGCGCCCAGACAGATCGTAGCCACACCGGTGAAGGAATTGGACCCTCCAAAGACCATGGCGATGAGCCTCGAATTCGGCGAACAGCAGAATTCTACCACTTGGCTGCATTGATATAACCCAAACGACAGTTCTGGCGATATCCTATAGATTCGCCAATCATTCAGTCCCTCGTTCTGACTGCGCTGGGTTTAGTCTCCGAGATGAATGTCTGTACGATCCCTTGGCCGATGTTTGTGGTGGCATGTGAAGTGTTCAATGATTCGCAGACTACCTATCCTCGAAGCGTGACCAAGATGGAGAATCAGAGGCCGATGGGCAACATAAGCGTCACCAAAACGATCATTGAATCGCTTTGGGAACAGCAAGGTCTCAGGCTAGGGGAGGATGGGAAAGCAAACGGGGGCTGGAGCGAGATTGCTGATAGGAAGGACTAGAGCCCTTGTTTCCTCTGAGGTCGTCAGCTTGATCGCTACCGCCTTGGTGATTGCACGGGTCTTGCACAACTTCAGATGCTTGACAAGCTTGGTTCAGCAGGGCCATTTTGAAGCGACGGACGAAGCAAATCCCCATGCTATGAATCAGGGGGACTAGAGATCGAAATATGGCAATATTTTGCTTGGCGCGGCCTGGGTGTTCGGCCATCTAACAAGGGCGAGATCCTCGAGTCTGACCTTCATGGGTGGCATGTCATAATCGTCTGCCGCCAGAGGTTCTCCAGTGTCGCCGACCCTTTGGCTCCGCGGGTTATTATCAATAGCTCCGAGAGAGGAAAAGAAGTAGTCTGGTCGTCAGTAAATTCAATGTATATTCATCATAAAAGAGGTCGACACAATACGCCATCGACAGAAGTGCTCCATCTCCGCTGCGCCTGCCGTACCCGGGGATTCGCTCATCCAAACGCTTTCAAGAATAGCCATAAACCAGCACTACTAAGGAGCGGGATTGTCAAATTATCATCCCAACCCCATAGATCAATAAACTCGGAGACACTTGCAATGACGCCCGTGCATATGCTCATGGCTGCAAGTGCTGCGTTGCCGACAATAACACCTTGATGGGGTTCCCAACCCAGCAGTGCTTTCGCGCTGGAGGGCAGGGAAAGCCTGTTCTGAAACATAAAAGGGTTGACCGGATCGTCAGGGAAGCGACCTGTTCTCGGGGCGAGGTATCCCCAGAAGAAAACCGCGGTGACCACACCCGTGAGAAAGGCGGCCAGCGAGCCTGCAAGCGACTTGCCCTTCCGCAGGCGAATAGTGTAGCGTCCATATAATCGCCCAAACGTGCTTGCAGCGGTGTCGCACCAGGACAAGAGTAAGATGGACACAACACCAATGTCCTTGGGGTAAAATCTCAGAGCGCCGTACGCTCCCACCAGATACCAAATGACACCATTATATCCGTCCACCTCGGTCTCCCGCATCAGAGCGCCCAAGACTTTGATGTAGAACCTATTAAATCTTTCGGAATGGTGTCGGAGGATATCAGTGGGGCCGATAATGGCAAGCGCGCCCAACAGCCAGGGGGTAATCGACCACGTCTGTACACCCGTGACATAAAATCGGAGGGTAAAGAAGCCGATGGAGACATGGAGGAGTTTCCGGGGGATTTCGTGCTTGTGAATGAGGTTGCGGTAATGGCGGTGGAGAGGAATCAGCCCAAGCGGCGAGGGAGAGCGAGAGAATTCGCGCCATGACTTCTTGACTCGATCGTAGGGTGACAGGTGGCCGTTGGACTGAGGGTAGGGGATGGTGCCATTAGTGAGAGGCTCTGACTTGGTGACGGGTTTTATCGAGGTAAGACCGCTCATGCGTCGTCTCTTACT